CTCATAGTGACCCCTCCTTGGGTTTCTGAGGTGGTATCACTATGCAAGTAGATTGATTGCCCAATCTTCCTTCCGAGGAGTGGCTGGTGGGTTTGAACCGCCAGCCTTCTGGTTAGCAGTCAACTGCCTTAGGCACTATGCTACCAGAGCTCCCTCAATAAACAACTAGTAAAATTAAAATTATACCCCTACATTACAGTATCATATGCACAGCCTAAATGTACTTACATTTACATAGTTTCATGTGGTTAAAATGAATATTTGATGACAAAACAGTAAGATTTGAAGTAGAAACATTTAAGAACTACATCAAAATTATGTTAATTTTAACATTAAACTTCACTATTACCTGAGATATATTGATAGGTTAGGTTTGAATAATCAATAATGGTTCAAATAATGTAGAAGTTGTAGACCAATGCATGTGGAAATAAATTCGTAAATGAAATAATACCATAAAATTAAACAGGAACAAATACAAAAGCATTTCAGCACTTAAGGAACATCTCATCTAAATCAGAACTTTCCTTTCCTGGCCTAAAAAGCTGCAAACTTGTGAAACATTTCATCGAAATCAATGCCTTCACCAACTCACTTTTAACTGATAGTATCACAAGATCTGAAAGCCTTGGTTGTCCCGTGGTAGATCACAAATAGTTCTTTGTAAGTTTCCACTTTCAAAAGTTCCTCTCACATGAAGCCACTGGCACACAAATTATAAGAAATAATTTTAGGCTAATGAAAGTGTTGGGAGAGATTCTACAAAGTCCCATTCAGCTATGAATGTCAAAATGTCTAATGCTGCCCAATCTTCAGCTTCTTCCAGAGCAATCTCTGCTGCTTTCAGCTGCTTTCTCAGCCTTGGAATTTCTATTAAAAGCCCACTCTCAGATACCTCATCAGAGAAAGTGGTAGTCAATTTTGGAATGTATACCTTTAACTCTTCTTCAGTGGCAGATATGAGACTCTTGGCTTGAACTGTCTCAAACATGGCTGCCACTTCTTTGATGGCTCTTGATCTGGTCTGGATTCAGAATGAAAATGAACAGTGCATCGCTCTCTTACTTTCCTCTTGCAGAGTGAGTATGGCTTCTCTTGGCTGCTCCCCACCCCTGCCATCCTCTTCTTGAACCTAGCTCTTCTCTCTACTGCAGTTCTGTATTCGTCTGATTTTGAAAGTGCCAGCTCAACGGCATGCTGCACTAGGTGACTGTCCTCCTTGTGCAGAAAAAGTCTTAGTGTCTTTAGCTTTATCACCATCTTGTTGAGAGTTAAGCCCTTAGTCTGCAGGTACTGCTGTGTAAGACTAACTTCCTCACGTGTATCACATCAGCAGCACAGGTAGGCAGCAGGCAAAAGAACTTATGCCGCTCCTCTCATGTCCAAATTTTCAGGAGGATCACAAAGAGTTTCAATTGCCACCACAAACCTATTGAACATGCTTTAACTGTCTCAACTGCAGCATGATGAGCACTCCTGCATGTTATTGATAGGCTCTTCACTGACATTCCAAACCAAAACAAAAACCAAACTCACTGCTGTTGAGTTGGATCTGACTCACAGCAACCCCTCCTTGGGTTTCCCAGGTGGTATCTCTATGGAAGTAGATTGCCCAACCTTCCTTCTGAGGAGTGGGCTGGTGGGTTTGAACCGCCATCCTTCTGGTTAGCAGCTGTTCTGGTTACCTGGTGCCACTCTGACAAGAAATATATCACAAATGGGATGGCCTTAGCAAACAGGAGTTTATTCTTACAATTTGGAGGCTTTAAGTCCAAGTTCAAAGTGCCAGGCTCTAGGGGCTAGGTGAAAGCCCCTCAGCCTTGGACTTCAGCTCTCAGCCCACTGAAGTTAGAGGCTTTTCTTTACTCAGATAGCTGCTGGCTGCTGAGGCTGCCAAGCCCAAGGTTGACAAGTAACAAGGCAAATGCCCAATATTTCCAAATCACGGCAGGCCATTAATTCAAGTCCATTGTAAGTCCCAAGGTCGGCAGAGCATGGCAGGCTGTTAAACAACGACACAGCTCCATGCAGAGTTCAAGGTGCCATAGGCTAGAAACCATTCCCAAGGCTTCTCCTTATATACAGGAAGCAAACCACAGCCCAAAGGCAGCTACTCAGCTGCTTGTGGTAGATCCCACCATGGAGTTTATTGCCAGTCTCATCATGGGGAATAACTACCACCAGCTGTCCAGCCACTCAACCAGGCCCAGCCAAGTTGACACACAACATAACCACCACAGCAGCCAAACACCTTCCAGTACGGTCAATTAACACATCCCGTGGGTCAGGGGAAAACAGCAACAAAAGTAAACATATCCAAGAGTTCTAAAAAATGTCACACACAATGCATTTTAAGCAAAAGAATGCTGACCACACAAGTTAAGTGAATGGTCCACACATATATTAAAAATACCTTTCTTGTTTTTCCCTTAAGAATGGCTTGTACCCACATCTCCGTGGATTGTAGCCATAGTGGTAGTGTTATCTTAATTTTCAACGTGGCACATCTTTATTTATGTCCAATTCATCATTAGCTTTTTTTTTTTTTTTTTTTTTAAAAAAAAAAAGAACGTCAGAACGGAAGCCAACAGCTTTTTTCCTCTTCAAAGGGAAAAATCCTAGACAGACTCCTTTTGCTTTTACTTTCCTATTGTTGATTTTTCATATGTGATCACTTCTGACATCTGGTCCGTATGTGATACGTCAGTGTGCTGTCAAACATGATCACAAAGCACTTTGCAGACTTTATGTCCATGACAAGCTTCTTCACCATTTGCCAGGGCACTGATAAGTCCATTCTGGGTTTTTGATGCAAGATAAGAGGCTGATATTTACATGCGCTTCACTTTAATCTCATCAGGTGCTCTTCCAGCACTGGATCATATTTTGAAAGTATTGCAACCAATTTTTTTTTTTTTTTGTAAAATCTTTCTACATTGAATTACAACGTTATTAAAACCAAACCAAATTCACCGCCATTGAGTCTATTCCAACTCATAGTGACCCCTACTGGATTTCCAAGGCTGTAAATCTTTACAGAAGCAGACTGTTTCATCTTTCTTCCACAGAGTGGTTGGTAAGTTTGAACCATGACCTTTTGCTTAGCAGCCAAATGCCTTTGCCACTATACCACCAGAGCTCCTTACAACATTATTGGTTACAACATTGCTAGTAACTGAGCAGAGGCCTTTAACATTTTTCTCCTTCTTTTCCTTTAATTGCTACTTCATTCTCAAAAAAGCTAATGATATAGCTTCATAAATACTACTTATCACAATATTATAGCTAAAACACCAGAAAACTTGACAAATCAGAGACTATAAAAACACTGGCAGCAACAAAAGCAACTGCACATGCTTGTAGTGTGTGAAGATGAAACCACGTGATCTGAAGTGTTATTGTAACTGGGTAATAATGACAGCTCTGATCAGAGTGAATTAGGTTCAAAAAGTAAATTAGCATGGAGTTTTAACTTGTAGTTATGATATATTGATAATGCAAGCTGGGCTTATGAAAAATGTTTTTGTTGTTATAACTAACTACAGAGATCTTTTATAAGAAAATAATATATTTCTGCTGAAACAGTGCACAAAAACTTTATAGACAGTCCTTGTGGTGTCACTTCCCTCTGACAGTGTCATTTCCCTCTGACAGTGTCACCTATACTGTACCCCCCATACTCCCCTAGTGACACCCCTGGGCAGTGACCAACTGGGCCCATTGCATTTCCTTTGGATTTTAAACCTAAGACACACAGAGAGATTAGAATGGGACAAAAAGGAAAGGCAAGCAGGGAAGACAGACAGCGAAGCTGCTACTGGAGCAGGGTTCAGGGAACTTCTGCTGCTCGCTGGGGGAGAGAGGGTGTTGAACCCTCAACAACTCCCTAGATTCCATACCATGTGCCAGTCTCTGGGATGCCCAGCTTAGTGAGAGTCCTAAGAAGTCTGCCTCCTGTATTTCCACATGGACCCTCATAAGGAGACCCTGTTGTGAAACAACCTCAGTGTATCTCTCTTGTTCACAACCTCAAGGACCTAATAAAGAATACATTTTGTCAGCTTTAAAGATAAGGGGCCCTGGGGTGCAGTAGTTAAGTGTTTGGCTGCTAACTGAAAGGTTGGCAGTTCAAATCCACCAGCTGCTCCCTGGGACAGTGGCAGTCTGCTCCCGTAAAGATTATAGCCTTAGAAACCCTATGGGGCGGTTCTACTTGGTCCTAGAGGTGACTATAAATCAAATAAAGTCAACAACAGTTTTTTTTAGGGGGTGAGGGTTACAGACAAAGAAGCTAAGGCTAGGAGACCACAGCCACTCCCCAGATTACAAAACCAGTTGAAGACCCAGCCCAGGTGTCCTTATCTCAAAAAGGTGCTCTCAAAGGATGGGGGTGGGAGCAATGACAGAGGTGGTGAAGAGGGAAGGGAGATTTGATTTCTGATGAGAATGAGGAGTGAGAGAGGAGATGAGTTCAGTTGCACAGACTTTCTGTAATGTTGTTGTACTTACAGACAAGTTTCTAAGCAGTAAGGATTGAGTTCTGAAGTGCTCATAGGTCATGCCTTCTCACTGGCTGCTCCTAGTGGTTTCTGGGGGCAGAGACTACAGCTCGGCTGCTCTTGTCTACCCGGCTTACTTCACCAACCCTCCCTACATTGTGCTTATAGGGAAAACGGTCAATGGAAGGGGGCAGAAGAAGATATCTCCCCAAAATGCCTACCTACTTACCTATTGAGGGTTCTAAAGGCCACTCCAGGCTGGTTTTGAGCTGATGTCTGAAATTCCTCTGAGACCTTGCTGCCCTATACCCTGACATTTAATGGCAAGAAGAGCTGAAAGACATATTCTCATTTTCCCATGAGAAATGCCCACAGGAAGATTCTGATTTTGAGAGGTTGTAGACCTAATGATAAGGAAAGGAGCTTCAGGGACAAACTTTCCAGTACTTGGAATAATGCTTCAACCAGGGTCCATGGCCTCTTTTCCCTCCTTGCAGGCCCATGGATGCAGTGCGGGTTGCAGTTGTCGGAGCAGGCGTGATTGGGCTCTCCACTGCACTGTGCGTTTCCAAACTGGTCCCATGGAGCTCCATCACAGTGATCTCAGACAAATTTTCTCCTGACACCACCAGTGATGTCGCAGCAGGAATGCTTATTCCTCATGCTTATGCAGGTGAGAGAGAGATATTTGAGCTCCTATTGATAGAATGGAAATTGGTAGAATTCTGTTGACAAAGACTACTGGATGTGTGTGAATGTAATGTTCAGTTTTAATACCTATCTTAGTTTCCTAGTGCTGCCGTAACAGAAATGCCACAGTGGATAGCTTTAAAAGAACAGAAATTTATTTTCTCACAGTTTAGGAGGCTAAAAGTCCAAATTCAAGACCGCAGCTGGAGGGGAAGGCTGTCCTCCCTCTGTGTTTGCTCTGGGCTGAGATCCTTGTCCTCGCCCTGGTCTTCCTCGGTTCCTCGGTAATCCTCACACGTGCTTCTGTCTTTCTCAGTCTGTGCTTCTCATCCGTGTCTGCTTGCTCCTGTATCTATGCTGCTCATTATCACTCAGAAGTGATTAGGTTTAGGACACATTCTACACTGATATGGTCTCATTAACAAAACAAAGAAAGCCCATTCTCAAACATGATTGTATTCAGGTGCCATCGAGTCATGTCTGACTCATAGCGACCCCATGCACAGCAGAGCAAAACACCGCCTGGTCCCGTGCCAACTCCATGATCCCTGCTATACTTGAGCCTATTGTCTCAGCCACTGTGTCAATCCATCTCTTTGAAGGCCTTCCCCTCTTTCGTCGACCCTCCACCTTACCAAGCATGACATCCTTCTCCAGGGAATGGCACCTTCTGACAACATGATCAAAGTAGATGAGATGAAGTCTGGCCATTCTTGCTCCCAAGGAGCATTCTGGCTGAACTTCCTCCAGGACAGATCTGTTAGTTCTTTTAGCAGTCCACAGTACTTTCAGCATTCTTCGCCAGCACCACAACTCAAAAGCATCAACTCTTCTTCGGTCTTCCGTATTCATTGTCCAGCTCTCACATGCATACGAGGCGATTGAAAATATCATGGATTGTGTCAGGTGCACCTTAGTCCTCAAGGAGACATCCTTGCTCCTCAGCATTTCAAAGAGGTCCCTTGCAGCCGACTCGCCCAGTGCTATACGTCGTCTAATGTCCTGACTGCTGCTTTCATTGGCATCAATTGTAGAACCAAGCAATGTGAATTCTTTGACAACATCAATCTTTTCTTCATTTATCGTAATGCTGCTTATAGGTCTAGTTGTGAGGATTTTTGTTTTCTTTATATTGAGACATAATCCATACTGCAGACTGTATTCTTCAATCTTCATCAGTAAGTGCCTCAAGTCATCCTCACTTTCAGCAAGCAAAGTTGTATCGCCAGCATATCGCAGGTTGTTAACGATTCTTCTTCCAATCTTGATGCCACATTCTTCTTAATATAGTCCAGCTTCTCGGATTATTTGCTCAGCATACAGATTGAATAGTATAGGGAAAGGATACAATCCTGACGCACTCCCTTCTTGATTTTAGACCATGCAGTGTCCCCTTGTTGTGTTCCAACAGCCTCCTGGTCGATGTACAAGTTCCTTATGAGCACAATCAACTGTTCTGGAATTCCCATTCTTCTCAATGTCATCCACAATTTATTATGATCTACACAATCAAATGCCTTTGCATAGTCAATAAAACACAAGTAAACATCTTTCTGGTATTCTTTGCTTTGAGCCAGGATCCATCTGACATCAGCTATGATATCCCTTGTTCCACATCCTCTTCTGAATCCAGCTTGCACCTCTGGAAGTTCTCTGTCTGTATACTGCTGCAACCATTTTTGAATTATCTTCAGTAAGATCTTATTTGCATGTAATATTAATGATATTGTTGATAATTTCCACATTCTGTGGAATCACCTTTCTTTGGAATAGGTACAAATATGGATCTCTTCCAGTCAGTTGGCCAGGTAGCTGTTTTCCAAATCTCTTGGCATAACCAAATGAGTGCCTCCAGTGGGGCATCTGTTTGTTGAAACATCTCAGTGGGCATTCTGTCAATTCCTGGAGCGTTGTTCTTCACCAATTCCTTCAGTGCAGCTTCGACTTCTTCCTTCAGTACCATTGGTTCTTCATCATATGGCACCTCCTGAAATGGATGAACATTGACCAGTTCTTTTTGGTACAGTGACTGTGTATTCCTTCCATCTTTTTTTGATGCTTCCTGCATTATTCAATATTTTGCCCATAGAATCTCTCAATATTGCAACTCGAGGCTTAAATTTTTTCTTCAATTCTTTCAGCTTGAGAAATGCCAGGCGTGTTCATCCCTTTTGGTTTTCTAACTCCAAGTCTTTGCACATTTCATTATAGTAATTGGCTTTGTCTGCTCAAGCTGCTCTTTGAAATCTTCTGTTAAGCTCTTTTATTTTGTCATTTCTTCCATTTGCTTTAGCTACTCTCTACTCAAGGGCAAGTTTCAGAGTCTCTTCTGTCATCCATTTTGGTCTTTTCTTCTTTTCTCATCTTTTTAGTGACTTCTTGCTTTTTCCATGGATGATGTTCTTGATGTCATTCCACAATTCTCTGGTTTTCGGTCATTGGTGTTCAATTCATCAATCTATTCTTTAGATGGTCTCTAAATTCAGGAGGGATATATTCAAGATCATATTTTGGCTCTCATGGACTTGTTTCAATTGTCTTCAACTTCAAGTTGATGGTCTGTTCCACAATCAGCTCCTGGCCTTGTTTTGGCTGAAGATACTGAGCTTTTCCATCACCTCTTACCAAAAATGTAGTCAATCTAATTCCTGTGTATTCCATCTGGCAAAGTCCACATGTATAGCCGCCATTTGTGTTGCTGAAAAAAGGTATTTGCAATGAATTGGTCATTGGTCTTGCAAAATTCTATCATGCGATTTCCAGCTTCATTTCTGTTACCAAGGCCAAAATTTCTAACTACTGGTGATTCTTCTTTGTTTCCAACTTTTGCATTCCAGTCACCAGTGATAATTAACATATCTTGATCACATGTTTGGTCAATTTCAGACTACAGAAGCTGATAAAAATCTACAATTTCCTCATCTTTGGCTTTGGTAGTTAGTGCATAAATTTGAATAATAGTCGTATTAACTGGTCTTCCTTTAGGTGTATGGATAGTATCCTATCACTGACAGCATTGTTCTTCATGGCAGATCTTGAAATATCCTTTGTGATGATGAATGCCACACCATTCCTCTTCAAATTGTCATCCCCAGCGTAGTAGACCACATGGTGGTCTGAATTAAAATGGCGCAAACCAGTCCATTTTAGCTCATTAATACCTAGGATATCAATCTTTATGCACTCCATTTCATTTTTGACAACTTCCAATTTTCCTAGATTCATGCTTCATACATTCCATGTGCGATTATTAATGGATGTTTGCAGGTGTTTCTCCTCAATTTGAGTCATGCCACATCAGCAAATGGAGGTCTTGAAAGCTTTACATTATCCAAATCATTAAGGCTCATTCTACTCTGATGATGCAGCGCTTTCCTGGTCCTGTTTTGAGAGCCTTCTGACCTAAATGGCTTATCCTTCTGCACTGTATGAGACAATGTTTCTGGGCTATTCATAAAGTTGCACAGTAATGTATCAGACAGTGTTTCTCTGCTGTTCATAAGGTTTTCCCTGGCCAGTTCTTTGAGAAGTGCATGGCCTCTTCCTAGTCTGTCTCAGTCTGTAAGCTGTGTTGAATCTTTGCACCACGTGCAACCCTACTGGGTTTGAGACACCGGTGTCTCAAACAGCTAAGGGAGACAAACTTGCCTGTCAGTTTGTCCTACTGTGGTGGTGTGTGGCTGTGAGGGTTGAGGCTGTGCCACCGGTGTCTCAAACCTAGTGGGGTTGTACATGATGCACAGGTTTCAACAGCTTAAATTTTAGGGGAACACAATTCAATCCACAATAACATCCCATCTGTTAGGAAAGTCTCAGTTGTCCTACAGAAGAAAAACAACTCCCAAATATGTTGATTGAGCATTGGAGAGGGTTCTGCTCATCCCTTAGAGACCCCAGCTGATGGAACAGCCACCATCTTGAATATTGTTAGTAGCTGTGCCTAGAAAAAAAGGAACTCTGGAGGGTCTGGTATCAACAATTAAATGTGATCATGACTCCTGATCATAGTTCATTGGCAGAATTATTCTTAATTCCTTCTTCAGCAGAAAGAGGCTTAGAAGTGCAACTCTGCAAGCTTCCCAGAAGATAAAGAGCCAGAAGTAATTGGTGAACAGCACTAGTAGCTACCACATTAAAAAACAAACCCATTGAGTTGATTCCATACCACATTATCACAGTAATGATTATTATGACAACTTTCTTTCCACTGGCACCAGTAATGATCATCAAGCTAGAAATTGTTTGTAACGGGACTAAAATTATCTTAGCTGCTAAGTACAAAAACAATCAGTCAATATGTTTTTAGGCCCAAAGATGCATTAATTGGTCAACATGTTCATGCATCCTTTCTAGTCTACATTCTTCACATGAGATTGGAAAAGGAAGGAAGTCGCCCCAAATAGAAACAAAAAATCACATTGCAGCTAATGAGGTATGTGCTCATTGTCTCATATTATTTTCTTTTTTCCCTTTTATTTTTTTTCAAATGATCAATGTTATACATGCACATAGCTTAAGTAGTCAACTAGTTCACAAGATTTTATTTATTTATTTTGAAACCAGCAATATGGAATAAGAAAATTACCCTGCCCTTTTACTCTGGAAACTCATGTTCTTTTGTTCAGGAAGTAGTCTTAGAGTTCCTCAGTTGCTGACTTCTCTTCTGTTGTCTGTGTCTCTCTATCTGCAATATTTATGAGGCTGGGTCCCTTGGATGGGTACTCCAATTATTTTTGCTTTTTTCCTCCTCCTATTTTGACCCTTTCCTCTTTTTATTTTACTTACTGGGAAATTTCCTCATGTTTACCTTTTATCTTCCTATTAGATTTTAAAATTCTTACTATAAAATTTTTATATATAACATTTTTATTCTCTGAATTTCCCTTTTTATAACATCCTATTGTATTATCCCACCAGCCACTCCTCGGAAGGAAGGTTGGGCAATCCTACTTCCGTAGTGATACTGCCTTGGAAACCCAAGGAGGGGTAGCTATGAGTCGGGGCCGACTCGACGGCACATAACAACAACAACAAGAACATTGTAGTATATGTTTGTGATATCTTTTCTTTTCTTTCTGAAGATATTAATTATAGTTTTTTAAAAGTTTCTTCTCTCTGTGTAGTTTCTGTCGCCTCCAAGTCATGTCCTTCTGTTGGATGTTTTTATTTCTGTCTTTCATGTTGGACATTTTCCTTGGCTGTGTGATAATCTTGACCTGTCTACTGACATTAAGAGCAGGACTTTAAACAGTTGTTGGGAATTTCTGAGCACTTGTTTAGGGCTTGTTGCTTGTGGGCCTCACTGTAGTTAAGATGGCAGGTCATTTAGTAGGGGAACCACTGATGCCATTATGTTTAAGTCTTTTTTTCTTGAGCTGATCGTGTTCCCCAGAGAAGAGGATTACTGTTTCCTGGCTAGCGAGGGTGAATTCCTGGCTGTAGCATTCTAGAGGGCTAGGGGAGAAGAAGGAGCTCTGGTAACATAGTGCCTAAGGCACTTGACTGCTAACCAGAAGGTTGGCGGTTCAAATCCACCAGCCACTCCTCAGAAGGAAGATGGGGCAATCTACTTCCATAGTGATACTGCCTCAGAAACCCAAGGAGGGGTCGCTATGAGTCGGGTCCGACTCGATGGCACATAACAACAACAACAACAACAACAGGGGAGAAGAAGGATAGGGTCTTAGCATCCAGTTGTCATGTATTTCTTTGGCCCTTCTGTATTCAGTGTGGTATCCCTGCCCTCACCTCTACTTGATGCTCCCAGTCCAGAGACCCCATTTTACCTAACAGAAGAAAAACCCCTGTCTTATTCCAGAGTGGGGAGTATAGTCATCTTGGCTTTATAGGTCTAGGAATTTGGTTTTGTCAACACCCATGGAGCTGGTGCACCTCATGGGAGCTGCTTCATGGGATTTATACACAACAACCTGATGTGCTATTCAGAATGTTATTTATACAGGGCACCTTTCATGTGACCAGATTTCTTATGTCCATTTTTCAAGAGCCCCCTTGCTTATAACAGGCCTGGGTGAGTGGTCAGAAGGTTGCCTAGTAGTCCCATGACTACTCAAGGAGTCAAGGAGTCCCATGACTTCTTCCTCAAAGAAGGAGGTTCATCTGACAGTTAATCCAGGCCATTGAGGCCAGAGCTCTCTCCTTGTGACCAGGTGGTGGGAGCTACTCTTTTTTTCTTGGGTGCTGCTAGATAAAGACTTTGATCTTTTCTTTGCACTGCTTCTCTAGACTCTATTCAGACCATCCCTAGTGTAAATACCTTCTGTGCTTATAAATATATGTATACTACATGAAGACCATACTTGTCTCATAGGTCATTATAAGGATTATATATATGCTGTCAAGTCAGACCTGACTCATAGTGACACCTCCTTGAGGCAATATCATTACAGAAATAGATTGTCCAACCTTCCCTCTGAGGAGTGGCTGGTGGGTTTGAACTGCCAGCCATATATATATATATATATATATATATGGACTGGCACATAGTAACTCATTCTAGCTACAGTTTTCTTTTACTTGTTTTGAACATGAATTAGTTCCCTAACCTGCTCTACCCACTGTTGAACTGGAATTGTTTGTTTTTTGGGGATGACTTCTAGAGCATGTGAATCTCAGCTACTATCTGGGGGCTCTGGAGTGGAAACAGGGAAGTATTTCAATACTGCCCCAATACACTGACATAGATTGTTGGGGTTTAATCTATATGAGGTCTAATTTATGTCACTCTTCAGCTTATTTATTTCTTCATTATTTCTAATTAACAGTGCCCAGTCTGCAGTTTTGGAATACAATGCCAAGTCTACACGGGCACATGTTAAACACAGTACAGATCCACTACAAAAGAAATATTTATTGGCTCCATAATTAGTCAATTGTCTTAAAACCCTGCTACTTAAATGGCCCTATTGACCTGAGGACTTTGGGAACAGGATATCTACAGGGGTCTTTGCACCTTGAATTCCAGGGACATCTCTTTAATCAAAGCTGACCATCATCCTCTCAGTTTCAGTTCCTCATTTCCTCTGTGGCTACCCCCACAGCAGCCCCTCAGGATAACTGGTAGCCTATTTCTGTTCTGACCACAAGGATCAGATGGCCAAATACACCACCCACAGTTGGATTTGTTGGTGCTGCTGGGTTATGCTTGCTCTCTGTGCCCCCACTGGCCCCTTACTTTTGTGTTTGAACCTTGTTCCTTGTTTCCTCACTGACAGGCCTGGCACCCATCTAGAAGCTGTCCAGGTCTAATCCCTGTGTTCTGGCCAGGATGCCTGGGGGCTGGGGAGCACTGACACACATACTCCAGTGGAGGTGTTGTTTGGTGTGGCCCCACATGCCCCCTGCTGGCTATAGGGACACCACTCTGCACAGGTCCATGATTCCATGCTGTGGATGTAATGGCAGCCCTGGTTGGGAAAGCTGGTCTGGGGGGGGTCCTTCCCCAGGTACTCACATCCACATTGCAGGTCTTGTTTCCTTGTATCAGGATGGTAAATTTCATAGACCTCCCCTTCTTACACATCATATTTTTAACCTCCCTCACCCCCAGCTCAGAAGAGACCCTGAGCTTTTTCCTATGTGTCAATTGTGTGGCCAGCTGTAGGCCTCAGCCATGAACTAACTTACACTCAGGCCAGTCATGAACCCTTTGAGAATTTCTGGAATATACCTGGTCCAAAGATACCTTCCAGCTGGTTCTCATGTCAGACCTGCTTCAATTGGTCAGTTCCCCTCTGTGGAGTAATCATTATCTGGCGAGATGCGATAGTACATGTTAACATTTAAAACTCTGATCACTGATGGATTCTCCACTATGTGGTACTTTAAATTAAATACTCTTTGCTGCCTCTTTATTTTTTTTCTCTCCAATTTCTGCTGTTGTTGTTATGTGCCATCAAGTCGGACCTGACTCATAGCAACCCCTCCTTGGGTTTCCGAGGCAATATCACTACAGAAGTAGATCACTCAACCTAGAAATTGTCATTATTTTCCACTCTGGTCTTTTTCCATGACTGTAGATGCATCCATTCACAAGCAGAAACAATGGTTTAGAGAGACCTTTGATCACCTGTTCTCAATCGCCAATTCTGCAGAAGCTGGAGATGCTGGTGTTCATCTAGTATCTGGGTAAGAGAGGAAATCAAAAGTTATTTTAGAGTTCCAATTATCTTAACAGACACTAGACTTCAACATAAAATATTTATTGAGTGTCTGCTGTGAGCAAAGTGCTGAACTAGATTTGGGAGGAATTAGAAAGAACATTTTAGGCTTTACTCCAAAGAACTTACGAAAGACAAATTATGGTATTCCACTTTTTAACAGCAAACAGCCATTATGGTTTCTCATCACAAATTCTATTCTGAGTTTCCTCAGGGAATATGTGCTGATTTGCAAATACAGCTAAGAAAGGGTACAGCAGATAAATGCTGAGCTTGGATTACGTGGGGATGGTGAGATATTGGCATAGATGCAGAGATCTAAGGTATAAGGATATCTTATTTATTTAGTGTCCTTGGAGAATGAGATGTTCCTAAAGAACTAAATTTTGCAGGGCACTAATGTTAGCTTTCAAAGTGCTATTTGGAAACTAAAAATTCTGAGATGGCTAGCATGTTTCTGCTTGGTTTTTAATATCTGATTTCAGGAAACATGCCTCCTGGAATGAGTTTAACATTAACTCCTATTTCACATTTCTAATATCCACTAACATTTAAAATATGGCAATATCTTCCTATATCTTCTTAAACAGAAATCACTAAACCTTCTATCACTTTTAATTTATGTCTCGGGTTCATCATATAAGCATACATCATTATCCTGTGTGATAACAAAATGATGACGCAGAAGAGCAGGGGGATGTTTGTCTTTTACTGAGTTCTCAACACCACTGTATTTTTCGGTACCATGATGTCAGTTTTAAACAATAATGATCCTGTCTCCTCTTGGGAGGTCAGGCTACCTGCTGATACTTCCTGCTAGAGTGCATGGCTGCATTAGGCTGCTGTCTACCCTTTTCCTCTTCTTGCCCTCCCTTACCATCAGAGACACCAAGGTGATGCTGACATCATTGCTTTCCCAAAAGTTCCTACTCAAAGTATTACCTTTGGCTTCTCTACCTTCAGAAGGAGGATTGGTACTTCTTTATAATGATTTCCAGATCCAGCTGATGAATTTCATAGAAAAAGCGTTGTCAGTGATTTACAGTCATATTTGTTTTTGCCCAATACTAACATGACTCAGTCTTAGTCACAAACTTTGGCTGTAAGTAATTTTGGAAACACCTGTGTCCAAAATTCAAGTGTAATTTTAAGAGAAAGAATTTACCACCATTGAGATTATTTAAAAGAATATTTTTCAATCTATTCCAAAAGGGAGTAATGTATTTCCACAAATGAATTATTTTTATCTCACTTGTTTCTAAACAGGAGTTGAATGTGTCAAGTAAAGACAAGGACCCAAATATCCTGTACATCTTCAGAATAATTCTATAGCCATATTAATCTATGCTTTCACTCATTCAAAATGATTTGTTGAAAATTCACCACTATCAGTACTCTGCTAGGTACCAGGAATATAGCAATGAGCAATTTAGTACCCTAGCATCAAACACATTGCCATCGAATCAATTCCAACTCATGGCCACTCCATGTGTCACAGATTACTACTGCTCCATAGGGTCTTCTTGGCTGTAATTGTGGTAAATAATAAATGTTCAATAAATATATTTTTAGTTAATTTTGAAGAAAGACAAGGATAGTCCTACCCTTGTGTAGCTTACAGGCTGTAGGAAATATCGTAAATCTAATAAGTTCCAAATGAGACATAAGTTGCCAAAGTACTTTGGATTTGTTATCAGGAGGGACCAGTCCCTGGAGAAGGATATCATGCTTGGTAAAATAGAGAGTCAGCAAAAAAGAGGAAGACCCTTAAGGAGATGATTTAACACAGTGTGTCAACATATTCTTTGTGCTCTGGTTGTTCCATTTCCAGTACTCTAGTTTCCCTGCCTTATATTTGTGTCTTTGTTTTAGATTAAATGTTGACCATCATACAGATGGTTTTTAGTAGAGCACTGTACTTATGGGTATTATCCTTTACTTTGTGTCCACTGTTATTTAGCTAAAAGATGATCTCAGGGGATAGTTTCAGTTCAAGATTTAGAGTATCTGAGGGCAATAGTCTCAGGGAGTTCTCTGGTCTCAACTGGTCCAGTTAGTTAGTTTTTTTTTTTTTTTTTAAGAATTTGAATTTTTGTTCTGTATTTTTCTTCCATTCTATCCAGGACCATCTATTGTGACCCTAGTCAGAATGGCACAAGGACGGCTTTGAATGAATTACTTAGAAATACAAATTCTGGTTCATTAATTATCACATCATTAACAACATGGACAGCACTCAAATTATTTTCTTTCCTATTTTAGAGCACCCATAAATACTACATTTATTCATATGGATGAGGACAACCCAGTACTTATAAATCCAACATACGCCTAGTGGCTATCGGTAGCACTATTACAGGCTTCTTGTTAACAACAAGTATCATTCCAGCCTCATCTATCCTGACCCATGGTAACAGGGCTTCTCATGACAACACTTGCCTTTGTTCTAATCCTAAAGCTAAACTTGATGACCTACAACTTAACTCATAATTCACATTCCCTCTTTCCAGCACTTGCTCCATTGCTCTCCCCAATGTAGAGGCTCTATGCTTTGCTTACAATTCATATAAAGCAATGTGCAAAAACTCCCTTCCCCAAAAACACATCGTCAGACTAAGTAAGGGAAATCTGGACAAACATTTAAGAAAAAGAAAATTAAATTTCAATCATTAAAAGACATGCTACTTCTAAAATGGCTTATTCCCCAAATCATGAACATTTTAAATGTACTATTACCTGAACCCAAGAGAAGCGAAGAGAAAAATTTTTTTTCTATGTTTATAGGAAGTATATTTTTTAAATGCTTTGAAATAAAAACCCAAAGAACTATATAATACAGAGTGAACAGTAATGTAAATTATGGGCTTTAGTCAATAATCAGGTATCAGTATTGGTTCATTGATTATAACAAATGTACCACATGAATGGTAAGAGTAGGAGAAACAGTGTGCAGTGGGAGGCAGGGATATATTCCTATATGTAGGAATATAACTATATATTATATATATATAACTGTATATTTTCTGTGCAATTTTTCTGTAAACCTAAAATCATTCTAAAAAATAAAGTGTACCAAAAAAATAATATGCTTTGGAGAATAGCACAGGGAGTTCACTAGCCAAGTGTTACTTCACAAGAATTTAGGAAATTTCTCCTCCTAATATTTTTGAGTTGGCAGATATTTCGAAACCTTCCTACTGAAGAAGTACCATTCTGGGCTGATGTGGTTCTGGGATTTCGAAAGATGTCTGAGGCTGAGTTGAAGAAATTCCCCCAACACGTGTTTGGCCAGGCTTTTACGACCTTGAAATGTGAAGGCCCTGTTTACCTGCCCTGGTTGGAAAAAAGGTCAGTTGAAATGACTCCTTACTGTTTCCTTTCATCTGCCATAGTCACAAGTAATCATAACTATTCCTAAGACACATGTTGAACGTTCTTCCGCGGTCCTTCAGAGCTCTTTTGTGTTATCTTTTCATTCACAGATGGCTGTTGTTGTTAGGTGCTGCTGAGTTGATCTGAACTCACAGTGACCCCTTATGACAGAGTGGAACTGCCCCATAGGATTTCCTAGGAGGTAATCTTTACAGAAGGAGCTTTGCTGGCATAATGGTCAAAGCATTCAGCTGCCAGACAAAAAGTCAGTGGTTTGAACCTACCAGCCACTCTGTGGGAGAAAGATGAGGCAGTTGGCTTTAGTAATGATTTACAGATTTAGAAACCCTGTGGGGCAGTTTTATGCTGTCCTATAGAGTCACTATGAGTCAGAATTGACTTGGTGGTGTTGGGTTTTGTTTGGAATCTTTATGGGAACAGATCGCCAGCTCTTTCTCCCATGGAGTCACTGTCTGGGTTCGAACCACCAGCCTTTCAGTTCGTAGCTGAGTGCTTGACATTGTGCCACCAGGGCTCCTTCACGTGGGGTAGAGCTCTAGGACACAATCTCAACAGTGCTTGTGTCTCAGGGAGTGAGCTGCACATGCTCTTAATAACTTTTCTGATTTATAGGTGCACCTTGAAGGTCTCTGGGTGGTGGCAATGGTTTATGCTTGACTACTGACCAAAAGGCTTAAGTTTAATCCCACAAGCAACACCACAGGAAAAGGTCCACAAGATTCCAAAAACCCAAACCCACTGCCAATGAGTTGATTGTGACTCATAGCAACCCTACAGGACAGAGTAGAACTGCCCCATAGGATTTCCAAGGCTACAAATTGCAGAAACAGACTTTCTTCCATGGAGTGGAACCTGCTGACATTTTTTTTGTTAGCAGCTGCGTGCTTTAACCACGATCCCACCAGAACTCCTTTCCACAAGATTATAGCCAAGAAAACCCTATGGAGCAGTCCTTGTCTGTAACACAGGGGGGCACCATGAGTTAGAATCGACTCAACAGCAGATTGGTTTATGTGCAGTTTGATGCACAATTTTTCTCCCTTCCCACTGCTATTGTCAGTAGCTGCAGAGTTGTTTCTGACTCATGGCAACAACATGTACAACAGAACAAAATGCTGATGATGGCAACAAGGCTCTTCTCTCTGACTCCTGTAACCTACACACAGAAAGGAAAAAACTTGTTCCAAGGCACGAACACCATCTGGCCAGTCCTCAGGGCCTATGGCATTACAGTCAGGAGGTAGTTCCCATTGGCACTGAGTACCACTTACTCAAGGTTATTTTAAGTAGAGTAAAATGGTAACCCACAGAATTCAGGTTGGAGGGAGACCTTTTTTTTCATCATGTCCACCACGACAGCAGACACAGACAGAGGCACATAGTCTACTTCAGGGAAGCCGTGGGGAGGGGATGCTCACTCCAGCAACTCTTCCACCTGCCCCTTCAGCACCCCTCTTCTCCTCGCCGTTGAGTCACTGATACCTTCATACTTCTTCCACTCTCCCAGTGTCAGCTCCCCTGTCCCCCACTCCCAGAGAGCACAGAGACACCCCCCCCCAGTGGAGATTAGCTGTCTCCTTTCTTTCCTCAAGGTCCCCAGGTGGCTCAAACAGTTTGTACTTGACTGCTAACCCAAAGGATGATGGTTTGAACCCACCCAATGGTGCCATGGAGGAAAAGACCTGGCAATTTGCTTCTGTTAAGATTACAATTAATGTCACAAAATAAAATGTGTGTAAATTATTGATCGGAAAACTAATTTGCTCTGTAATCTTTCAGCCAAACCTCAATAATAATAAAAACAAAGATTATAGCTAAGAAAACCTATGGAGCTATACTCAGTAACTGGGGTCAGACTACCCAATGAGCAAGGTAAGCACAGCTACTTGTGCTTACTTAATAATCTAGTAAGGACTCCATGCTTACCTCACTGACTGGGTAATCCGACACTGTCTGGAACACATAGGGTTGCCATGAGTTTGGAATCACCTGGAAGACAACTAACAGCCTTCCCATCAGAACCTTGTGTCTGCCTGGTGGCCAATGCAGTGGAGGAAGAAGGCCATAGGCCTGCTTTCTTTCTGCAGGATCCATGTGGAGCAGGACTCCTCTAGGCCCAAGACAAGCCTGTCAAGGCCAGGATTTCAGGCTAGGCAGAAGGAAGGGCAGCGTCCTAGTGAGGAGGTGGGACCCTCAGGGCTCACTCTGTGGGCAGCCACCCACTCTCCTCCACCCGGAGCAGATCCAGCTGGGAAGGCACACAAGCCCTTCTTGTTCCTCACACTCAGGGTCTATTTTGTTGCCTCCCACGCTTCTTCTACACAATGTGAGTGTTCAGCCTGCAGTGTTCTGACTCAAAAATAAACATTTCACTCAGCAAGCCACACAATGGCTTCAACGTATGCACTATCCTTCTGAAATAAGGTAAATTTCCTGGAAAATTTATGTATTTACTTATTTAACTGCAAATTAAGTCTTTAGCAATTTTCAAAGAACTAAAGGAATCACCTTTCTCTCCAGAAAGAAAGAAAGAAAGAAAGCAATGCCCAGTGTTATCTAGAACCAAAAAGTCTTCAGAGACTTAATCACCCATGCAGATCATATTTTATATCTTCAGCCAGGGAGTCATATTCTGCTGCATTCTACTTGCCTCTTCCAGGAAATGAATCATAGAGGCAGTAAGTCAACGAAGCATGGCTCTCCAGCCAGGAAGCATACCTAAATAAATCATCTCAGAGGGACAAGGACTGTCCTGCCTTTGATGACATCCAGAAAGCTCGATGGCTCATTTCTGCCCAAGGGGCCCTGTAACACAGGCACATTGATTTTTTCCCAGGATGCCAGCACCTTATCCTCTGGTCCTAATAGTCTCCATGCTAACTACAGCATCTACCACACCGACATTCTCTCCCTGTGCTTTCCTGTCCATTCTCTATTACTTTCTCTGAGAGAGCCCTCTATCTCCTATTTTTTTTCTTCTTCTGTGCCCCACCCTTTTCTGGGGCACAACCAGTTCAGTTTCCCTCCTTTCTGGATCTCTCATTGAGTTGAAGGAACCACTATGGTGACCCCATGTGGGTCTGAATAGAACCGCTCTGTGGGGTTTTCAATATCTGATTTTTTTTTGGAAGTAGATCACCTTTCTTCTCAAACGTCTCTGGGTGGATTAGAACCTTCAACCTTCAAAGCTGATCGCTTTAACAGTTTGCCTCACCCATGGACTCTGAGCTGAAGGAAAGGGTCCTGAAGATAACCATCTACAACATTTATTTGCCAGGCTGATGTGGTCCAGTAGAGAGCTTACTTTTAGGCTTGGTGAAAACGAGCACTCTTATGTTTTAGGGTGATGAGTGACATATGTTCAGCAAATTACCAGAGGACATTGGACTGTGGCCTATCTAATGAGCATGGATTTTTGAGTACCCACCCCCATTTCCTCATGGAAGATTGGGGCAACAGTATTCTCCCTGTCTAGGGTGAGGCCTTACCCAGTTGCAGGAAGCCCCAAGAGTAAGGTCACCAAGCTTCTTACATCCCCAACCATGTCACTCGAAACCTCCAGAACACTTACTTCATGTGATTATAAAACCAGCCTGTGGGAGCCTGGTCATCTGACATCCGTCATCTGCACACAGTTTCTCCTATGCACCCTCCCCATCTTAAGGCATTGCTCATGGGACAGCATAAAGATGACCAGTTTCTGATACATGCAGTAAGTTTCTTCCTGGGGTACAAAACCTGAAGGATGGAACACAGTAAGTCTGCCAAGGGCTTCTAGTAGCCCATCCACTGTAATAATTTAAAAGTCTGAGCTGGATGAGGATTGATTGGGCTTTCATCACAGTGCTACTAACAGGGGATCCTTGAAATGGAAAATAAGGACATCTGCATTTATTGAATTCTTACATAAGCTTCATCACAATCCTCTCAACACAGCATCGTTTTCCCCAGGTTGCAGCTGAGGAAACAAGTGAGTTTAAGAAATTTGCTCAAATCTCAAGTCTGATAAGTCTCCTTGTTTCTTTGAATTAGGAAAATAATTCTGAGATTTGATTAGGATGGTTGCAACACAGAACAATAATGTTCAAATATTAGCACATGGAATCCACAATTTATAAAAAGAAAATGTTCAAATGAAAATATTTTTAAAAATCCAATGTCATTCTAAAGAAATTAATTAAATAAATAAATAACGAAACTCACTGACACCTAGTTGACTCAACTCATAGCGACCCCTCCTTTGGTTTCTGAGGCGGTATCTCTATGGAAGTAGATTGCTCAATCTTCCTTCCAAGAAGTGGCTAGTGAGTTTGAACTGCCAGCCTTCTGGTTAGCAGTCAAATGTCATTCTAAGAGACTACAAAACACAACTAAGCATAAGATATGCAGGTATAAAAGCCAGACATCTTCATGTATGATGCACTGGGTCTTGCCTTTTACAATAACGTAATAAATCCCTAGCCCTTTTAAAAAATTGTTTAAATTTTTTCTTCTTTCTTAAATTTTTTTTTCTACACATACAATTTCTTCACATACAATTCAGCATTGATTGGATTCTTCAAGTTGTGCAAACATTCTTGCTGTCCTTTTCCAAATTATTCCTCTATCATTAACACAAACTCACTGCCCTTCCAACCTTCTTATCTATCCTTTTGAATTGCTGTTATCCATTTGATCCCTCATAGGTAATTCTTTAAAAGAGCACAAATCTCAAAGCAGATATATGTTACTAATTAAACTAAACTATTATTGCTCTGGCAGCATAGTGGCTAAGGCACTTGACTGCTAACCAGAAGGCTGGCGGTTCAAACCCACCAGCCACTCCTTGGAAGGAAGGTTGGGAAATCCTACTTCTGTAGTGATACTGCCTCGGAAACCCCAGGAGGGGTCGCTATGAGTCAGGGATGACTCGACGGCACATAACAACAACAACAACATGCTAGTATAGGAAAAAG